TTAAAGGGTGTTATTTCGAACTTATCGAAATAGTAACCCGTCGTCGTTCGATCGAGGTCGAACTCTTCTTTTTGGCGAAGACCCTTGGCCTTAAAAGGTGTAATTTCGAACTTATCGAAATAGTAGCCCACCGCCATTCGATCGAGGTCGAACTTTTCTGTTTGGCGAAGGCCCTTGGCCTTAAAGGGTGTTATTTCGAACTTATCTAAATAGTAACCCGTCGTCGTTTGTTCGAGGTCGAACTCTTCTTTTTGGCGAAGGCCCTTGGCCTTAAAGGGTGTTATTTCGAACTTATCTAAATAGTAACCCGTCGTCGTTTGTTCGAGGTCGAACTCTTCTTTTTGGAGAAGGCCCTTGGCCTTAAAAGGTGTTATTTCGAACTTATCGAAATAGTAGCTCGTCGTCGTTGATCGAGGTCGAACTCTTCTTTTTGGCGAAGGCCCTTGGCCTTAAAAGGTGTCATTTTGAACTTATCGAAATAGTAACCCGTCGTTAGTCCCAGTTTTTGGAGAATCAGACGTCCTCTGGGGGAGTCCCGGTTTGTTTGACATTGTTTGCATTAGAGGGTGCAACGTCGGAGAGTACGAAATGTTGCTGTTTCGCTTAGGTTCGTTCAGCGCACACATCGTAGTTTCCTTGTCTGACTCCTGCCTTTCGGTTTGGAGGTGTCACCGGCGGGCGGTATTTCGGTAATTTTGTAGTAGTTTCTCATTCTTTAATTGAGATGTTTCTTTGCTAGCTCGCCCGCGCGGCACTTGTGTTTTTGCTTGAGCAAAGAACAAAAGGTGAGTTAAAATGATACTTTCCTTACCCCCATCCGGTGGTCCGGTGAAGGGGAGCAGGTTTGTAACGTTGTTCGTTTTGTTTGGCATTTCGATGGTTGATGGGGTGAGGATTTCTAAATTCGGTGACTCTACTCGGCTCTCCTTCCCCTTCTGTGCTGCGCCTTTGTCCCGCGTGGGTTGGGTTTTGCCTTAGCGCTCTCTTCAGTGGATAATGGTGTTTCTTGTCTTTGATCTAGGAGAGACTAGGAAATTTCACTAAGAAATCCCCACGGATGGCGGCAAATTGTTTGACTCAAAAGATATCAGAACCTTTTTGAATAAATCAATCAAAGAAAATGAAGGAGGTAAATCTTAGTCAGACATAATAAATTCCAGATCAATGAGCTAACAGAATAGATAGTATATAAGATGAAGTAGATGTAATCGATCTTATTGAAATTTTTCATTGTGGCTCCCATCAATCAATGGAAGAGGTAGTTTTACATGTTTTTTCTGTAGATTACTTCTTTCCTATGAAGATTACAAGAAGAGAACTTAGGGGAGAGAATGGGAAAGAGAGCCTCTCCTATCGAGGGTTTTTCCCTACTATATATAGTCTAGGCACCCTTGCCGTTTACTTGGTCCAACGCTCTCTCGCACCAAGTGTGCCTTGGTCGTCCTTTGGACATTGCTCCTTCTGACTCGACGGGTGTCGAGAATGAGGTGTAAAGTGGGCCATGTCGTCTTTTACTGCCCTGTCACTTGGGCGGGACATTGGTCAGCTCAGCCGAGACGGTCAGATTTCGACCAATACACTAAGGCCACTGGATTCCTGCAAAGTTTAGAAGGAAAACGATCTTCATATAGGAGATAACTTAGCAAAATAAAACAAAAGGCAAAATAATAAATTTGATCATATAATCGCCAATTGAAATGAAAGGATGAACACATACAGGCCCATGCTTGCATGTAATTCAAGTCTGTTGCACTACCAGACGTACTTAAGTAGGAGCAGGATGCCAAGTCTATAAGAAATGCTGAAATTTTATGCAATGTTTTTTACCTGTGCAAGAGCAAAAGGCACGGTTGGCTCACAATTATTTTCCAAAATATAATCCTACTTATTCTATTCTTTAATTTGTCTATTTTAGGAAATAAAATATCAATGGATTGATAATTCCTTACCTTTTTTATTTTTTTTTATTTTGATGTTGCAATCTTAGTTTGATCATCTGATACCATTTTGTACCTTTGTCAGAAATGTTGCAATTGAAATTCAATATTGATAAATGAATTACTTGTAATAGCGAATAGTGATGCTGGTATAAAACACGCCTTAATCCCTATTCATATATGTAATGTTCAAATAAAAAATTGAATGTTTAATGTATAGTTTTCATGGCTTTGCATAAGCACGATCTTGAAACTATATATATAAAAAATAGAATAGAAGTGCACATGAAAGAAAGTAAGAAGCTACTTCTATTGAGTTTTCCAATCCCATCAAGTACATAAATTGTCTAATTTCTTTATGCTGTAATACAAATTATCAGAATGAAAAAAGTAGAAAGTAACACATCCGCACATCACAATTATTAAAAGAAATATTTTTTGAAAATTCTCTTTAAATTCTTGATTGTAGCATACTTTACCGTCTATTCACCTAAACTATTGTCTTAATTCCATATATTTTAACAAAATATGATGGATAATTATTGGGTATAGAAAATACATTGAGTTATAATTTGTGTTTGAATTTATTTGACTTGCTTTATAGTCTTACATGTAATTAGTGCAAATGAAGTCTTCTGTACAGGAACTGCACTTGGTGTTGCACCAGTAGAAAGTATCTAAAAATATCAAATTTAAATATTTGTACCCTGTCGAAGTAAGGAACCATGATAGCTGAGATAAAAATATTTGCTTGTGCTAGAAGTTAATGAATATTATTCTGCAGCGTCAAATCTCACGACGTTTAAGAGTCTTATGGAAAATGAATTATGTACCATTTCTCTCCATGTGATATACGCTGTCTTTGGTATTTCTCACTATTCTTTTCACCAAGATATGAACGTTCCTAATCTGCTCAATTTAGGCGTTGTCCATCTTTCTTTTATTTGTAAGCATATAAATTTATTACTAAAGTAGAGACATATTAACACAATAACACGAATTATAAAGCATAACTATTTAGCGTTATGAATAAGCATATGACAATAGACTAACGAAGTACAGAACAATGTCCTTCCTAAGACATAAAGATCTTTTTGAATCATTTTCTTTGTTCCTTCAATGATCATTTATCAATATTGTAGGGCTGGTGAAGGGTAGAAACTGTTGAAATTTATGCTGGTACATAGTTATGGAAGATACTCCCAACAATTCAAATCTCATCAACATGTTCACCAAGCATTGTCGCTACAAAAACTTCACTTTCAGACATTAACAAAATTGTCACTTACTATATTTCCGTTGTAAATTCAACAAATATTAGCCCAGGTAGGTTGAACAATAAGGTAAACAGATACACATTAGGATACAATAGGTACATTCAATTGGGATAAAAGTCATAACCCTAAAATATAATTACACTTGATATACTTAGGTAGAGAACTTCCCCTTTTTGCATCAATTTTGAATCTATATAGTTATTGGTGTCCCTAGAGCGCGTATATTTTTAAGATAGTAAAATAAAAATAACAGATACTTTAACAAACTGCAAATACTACTCAGACTTCAGTTGTGCTGGCAAACTTCTGTTTTTTCTCTTTTAACAATAAATTCAAGAAGCAGCACGATAAAACTAAAATTTTCATGTAACTAAACTATTCAATCAAATATTACTGGAAATAATTCATATGCAAAATAGCTATCTATAAGGAGTAGCAATTTTTACCTTTTTTTTTTGTTCCAAGTATTACTTCTCATCTTCATCTCCCGGCATACATGAAGTTTACAGTCAAAATCTGAAGGACAGAGATCGATTAACAAGCACATGCAAATTTGAAATACCCCAAACATTGCAACAAAAATTGCAGAGCAAAATTGGAATAGAGAAATTTTAAGGGCCTGGATTATACAAATTGCAAAAATAAATCGAGTTTAAACTGCTAAATTAAATTAATTTAGCTGGATCCTGGAGGAAACAATCCAAACCCAACAACAATTGAAGGAAAAGAAACAGAAGAGATTATCTTGATGGAGCAAATAACAATGCTCTGAAATCCATGGAAAATACGATAATACGATGGAGAAGATATTGGGACTGAAGATGGAAAAAAGATGTGGTGGCTGAGACAGAAACCAAAAGGCTACACGTAGTATTTGTGGAAGGGGAAAAAGGCACGTATAGAAATTTTCTAAATGACTAATTATCCTCAAGCTTTTTTAAAAAGACATTAAACAGACATGTCGAAAATCTTTCTCTTCTAATATATAGAAAAATAACTCAATTGTTTATTGGTTTTAAATAAAATAAAAGAGCATGAACAACAAAGCAACGAATCTTTGTTATTTTTAATTTGCAATATTACCAAAAACATAAAGGAAAATTGTTGCTATAATATTTTAACTTAGCCTATACTAAAAGAATCCAGCGGTCCAAGAAATTGCTATTACTCCCTCCGTTTTAAATTAGATGAGGTATTGTACTTTTTAATCCGTTCCAAAATAAATGACATATTTCTAAATTTGAAAATAATTCAACTTTAAACTCTTCATTTTACCCTTAATGAGAAGTTTTTTTATAACCACACGAATGTCATGGCCCTACAAAGCTTTTACCCCTTAAACTTTTAAAACTATAAGTTTCAAAAGTCTTTTTTTTCTCTTAAACACTGTGTCGAGTCAACCTGTCTCATCTAAATTGAAAAAGAGGGAGAGGGAGTATTCATATTTTAAAGATCACATCACATCCCAGGCAGATCTCTTTTAAACATTCAAAATCGTGACAGTGTAATTGAGATCCAATCATAAAATTGTGACAACACAATTGAGATTATGATCTTTTAAAATCGTGACAATATAATTTGAATCATGTATTAGTTATTCACAGGTTGAAAAATACTACCAAACAAGGGATTACTAACGTCAAAGCTAATACGTATATTATTTTTTCTTGATACGTCTATCAAACAACCCCTAATTGTTAAAGCCTTAAAGGCAAGCTTTGATGCTTTGTAGTACTCCTATGAGATTACGAGTTAACTTGAGAATAGATAATTTACTGCTAAAGTTTTAAAGTAATTATAATATGGCTAAACCGTTCTAATGAGTTAGTTCAGTCTAGTTCGAATTTTACCAAACTGAATTTAACTGAGCTTTTTGATCGATAAATTTTGATCAAAATCGATTGAAGTTGAATCAAGCCTAGCTTTAGTCGAGCTCCGACTCAACCCGGCTTTTCGCCCAAAGATCAGATAAAACTTATGATACTTCATTTGTATCCCTAGAAAACATTATTGACTTGATATTTATAAATGATTAGAAATGTTATAAAATAAAGACTGTAAAATAATTAAATCGAAGACAAGTATAGAGAGAGATTGATATATTATTCAACTTTAAACTTATGTTATATAATGAACTGAAATCTCCTATATTTATAGAAGAAAGGAAGCTGTTGTGTAAGTTGCTTGTAAGCTGCTTGTAAGTTACTTGTAACCCTGTGATTATCTTGATGGAGCAAATAACAATGCTCTGAAATCCATGGAAAATACGATGGAGAAGATATTGGGACTGAATATGGAAAAAAAATGCGGTGGCTGAGAAAGAAACCAAAAGGCTACACGTAGTATTTGTGGAAGGGGAAAAAGGCACGTATAGAAATATTCTAAATGACTAATTATCCTCAAGCTTTTTTAAAAAGACATTAAACAGACATGTCGAAAATCTTTCTCTTCTAATATATAGAAAAATAACTCAATTGTTTATTGGTTTTAAATAAAATAAAAGAGCATGAACAACAAAGCAACGAATCTTTGTTATTTTTAATTTGCAATATTACCAAAAACATAAAGGTGTTATGATAAAAATCAAAATATAGTAGATGTCTAGTCTTCCTCCATGATCTTTCTCTCAAATGGTTAATGACATATTCAATGACATATTTTCTATGTT